GGGCCCCTTTGGCAGTAGGAAACACATAGACTGTTATGGAGATTGATTTTGGAATTTAGATGCACTGTTATCAATTGTGCTTAGCCATACATGCTCATATCCTTGAAGATGCATCATGGAACTGTTGCAGCCTAGAAGTCACAAATTTTACTAACAAGTTAAAAGTAGAAAGTATTTCTTAAAGACTTATTATATTCAAGGGCTTCTAACCTTAAGGTAGTGTCGCTCTAACAGTTTGAATCCACCAGTGGCTTCACTGGAGAAAGCTGAGCAATCTACAGCCTCCAAGAAGGCCGCAGGAGGATCAGCTATGTGTGTATGAATTGGTCCATCTCAATGATACATAACAATAAAGTATCATTATGTTTCAGTTTTGACTGAGTAGCAATGGATTTAAGTGGCTGATACCTGTTGCTGGTAATAACATAAGATTGAAAGAAAGTTCCTTTCTCTGACAATGTGTATTCCTGTATTAACAAAATTCAACACTATTTAGAAGAAGGTAATAGGAATCTGTGGACAGTACGATTAAACAGGTGATTATTAGCTGAGAAGTTGGCAGTTCAAACCCACCCAAGAGAACCTTGAGGAACAAAGCCCCCAATCTTCTTCTGAAAACAATGGAGTAGTTGTACTCTTGTACACATGTGAGGTCCAGATGAGGTAAATGGTAATTAGTAACAGGCGGTTGTAAAATATTTTTTTTGTTTACCTTCTAAGTAATCTGCCTAAAGAACCAAGAGTTTATATTTTATCATAATAATTTCCTGGTTTATGTTGACTTTGTCATGCCTTTGGTTATTTAAGAGAACAAAGTCTTGCCACTTTTAAAAGAGTTAAGGTTAGTTACAGTTATGTTACTTCCTTCTTTACTTTTTGAATCTTTTTATTGTCACCTTTGTTAAATAGGTAGGCAAATGTTACTGCCAGTAACCTACTAAATGTTCAAACATCTTGATCAATTTTGATACTCTGTCTTGCAGAAATCAAATACTAAGTGATGTAATTTTGTACCTAGCACTGCCTCTGGGATTTAATGGAGGGCATCAGGAAAAAGTAGAAAAGATTTGGTTGTTTCTCTTGTAAAAAATGCATTAGAAATAATTAAGCTTATTTTTTTATGTTACTACTTATTGATCTTTAGAAAAGTAATATTTTCATTGTAATATTTTACTTTGACTTCCCTCGTTGCCTTTTGAAATCTTCTATTCAGCTCTTTAACATCTTGAATTCTTCAATGTGCTTTGGCTTCTCGGTGCTCTAGTGCAATCTTCAGAGTCTCTTCTGACATCCATTTTGGTCTTTTCTTCCTCTGTCTTCGTAATGACCTTTTACATTCTTCCTGCATGATACTCTTGATATTCTCCCACAGTTCATCTTGTCTTTGCTCATTAGTGTTCAAGGCCTCAAACCTGTTCCTGAGAGTGTTCTGAAATTCAGGTGGGATAAACTCAAGGTCATACTTTGGTTCCTGTGGATTTGATTTAATTTTTCTCAGCTTCAGCTTGAACTTGCATATGAGAGCAAGGAAACACTGTATGGTTCAAAATTGGGAAGGGTGTACAGGAGGATTATGCCCTCTCTCCATACCTTTTCAACCTATCTGCAGAACAGATTATCCGGGAGGCTGGGCTCTGTGACGAGAAATGTGGGGTCAGGATTGGTGGAGGATTCATTAATAATCTGCATTATGCAGGTGGCATAACCCTGCTTGCTGAAACCGAGGAGGACCTGAAACACCTGCTGCAGAAGGTCAAGGACTGCAGCCCTCAATATGGACTGAGGCTCAATAGGCAGCATCAGAATGGATGGTGAAGAGATTGAGATTGTTCACAGCTTTAGTTTGCTTGGCTCCAACAGTCAACAGTCTTGGCACAGCAGACAGGAAATTAAAAGATGTATTGTGATGGGAAAGTTTGCTGTTTGGGACCTCTCTAAAGTACTGAAGAGTAATGGTGCCACCCTGGAGACTAAGGTATGCCTGATACAGGCAATGGTCTTTGCAATCACTTGCTATGCATCAGAGAGTTGGGAGGATAGACAGATGACTAGGGAGGATAGAAGGAGAATTGATGCCTTTGAGCTGTGATGCTGGAGAAGAGTATTGAATATACCATGGACTGCTAAGAAAATGAACAGGTTCATCCTGGAAAGGGTTACAGTAGGCTGTTCCTTGGAGGCAAAGATTCTGAAGATTCATCTGACATACTTTGGACATGTTGAAAGGAGGTACTAGTCCTTGGAAAAGGACTTTTTTTTAAAAAAAGCTTCGGAGGGTGGAGGGACAGTGCAGGAGAGGAAGACCCTCTATGAGGTGGATTGATTCAGTGACTGAGATAATGAGGTTAGGTGTGTCAGAGACAGTGAGATTGGCACAGGATAGATAGAGCAGGGTTTAGGGCTGTTGTATATAAAGTCACTATGAATCGCAGGTGACTTGATGGCCCATAATACCAACAAGAACAACGTTTATTGATAATTTTGTACTGAATAGTTCCGGATGTATGCGAAAGTTGAACAATGAACCTAAATCAGAAGAGAACTTGATCTTGAATTGTGATGTTAGAGAATAGTATTGACTAAGTACTGCCAAAAGAACAAAGAAAACTGTCTTAGAGGAGAGGAATTGAAACCAGGTACTTCTTAGGAGACAAGGATGTTGAGACTTTGTGTCAGATATTTTGTTGTCAGGAGGCATGAGTCCTTGGAAAAAGAAATCATGGGTCAATGAAGTAGAGGAAGGCTCTCAACAAAATGGATTGACACGGTGATTGCAACAACAGATTGATAGTGGTGCATATTGTGACGATGGTGCAGGACTGTGCAAGGAAGGTTCTGAATTGTAGTGGATTCAATTGCACCTATCAACAACACACACTGAAGATTTGTATTTTGAATTTAATTGTGTTTCTCCAAAATATATGTTGTCAACCCTCACTCTTCTAGGTCTATGATGTAATCCTCTTGTAAATAGCTTTTTTGTTATTGCTATGTTATTGAGATGGCTTTTATCCAGACAGATTTCTTCTCTTACTAACCACTTTTGAGATGTGAAAGAGCATATTGAATATGAATGGGGGAAAGATAGATGCATGCAGTTCTCCAACGAACTCTGAAGAACAATGATAGAGAAGCTGGGACAAAGCTTTTCCTCCACAGCAAATGTATTTTCCTCTAGGACATAATGCTGGGAAGGGTGGAGGGTCGCAAAGGAGAGGAAGACCCTCAACCAGGTGAATGTCACGGTGACTGCCACAGTGTGCTCCTGTGCGTCAGGAAGTGTGAGGATGGCACAGGACAGGACTGGATCCAGATATTTTATTCATAGTGTCACTATGAGACATACTTAACTTGATGGCACCTAGCAACAAAACATAGTTCACCCTTGAATTTGCACACCTAGCCTCCTAAACTTTGAGCAGGAAGCTCAGGTAGTATCCTACTACTTATCATTACTGTTGAGTTATAAATGACTCCTAGCTGACCCTCCAGTAGATTTTCAGAGGCTCTAAATCACAGGGGATGGAATTCTGGTGGTCTAGAGGGAAGGAGTTGAGCTGGCATCCCAGAGGTACTTGATTCACATCCACCAGCTGCTCCATGGGAGAGAGATTGGCCATTGTCTCCTGTGTAATCTACTGCCTCTGAAAACCCACTATAGAGTCAGCTGTCGGTCGGTTCTGCCTCAACAGTACACAAAAACAATAACAAATCAAATTGAAGGAGATGGTCCATGTTTCTCCTCTGGAGAAGCTGGTGGATTTGAACCACTTGCCTTTGGGTTGGCACTGAAACTCCTTACCCACTAGACCACCAGAGCTCCTTTTCGCAGTGTAGTCCACCAGTATGAATATCTATAAACTAACACAAAAGTTACAACACTCTGGCGGTTTGAATCCACCAGTCACATTAGGGAGAAAGGTGGACAATCTTCTTTGTAATTTGCAGGCTCAGAAAACTAGTGAAGGGTTTCTTTATGGAGTCGTTTGAAACTGAATGGCAATGAGCTTGAGTTTGAAACTGTGAGAAATAAATTCCTGTTTATTAAAGCTGCTGACTGTAGTTTACATGAACACATTGCATGGGATGAGGTCTCAATTCAGATGAGATATTTAATATTTAAATATATATATACATATACATACATGTTTTTTGGAAGGAGGAGTGGTATCCACTTCCATAATAGCTTGCCTCCGGAAACCCTATGAGCCTGGAGAGAGGATGAAAGGCACCCAAGCGTCGAGGACTCTCCTTCAAAGGGTCACTATGAGTCGCCCGCGACTCGATGGCACTTAACAACAACAACAACGATATATTTTTTTAACATTTTATTTTATTGTTTTTTGTGTATATCGTCAAATCGGATCTGACTGGTA